TTTGGATCGCGCTGGTCTGAGGGCTGTATTATGCGAATTTCAGCCCGGTTTTAGAAGGTTAAGAACAAGGACAGAAATTTTTGAAAGCATTGTTTGATTGATATTTTAATTTGAATTTATTGCCAAAAATGAAATACAGTTATTAAAGCAATTTTTTTTTTTGTTTTCTTACAATAAAAGTCAGTTATGAAATAAACTGTTTTAATGTCTGTTGGCCGTTCTGCTGCTATGTTTATTCTCTTCAGCTTGAAATGAAATATGGGATGTCTGGAAATATTCTGATTGGCTAAAAGGCTTTAAATCATTTAAGATTTTAGGACGTATTTTTTAGCACATGTGGAGATAGATATTCAAAATTGCTGCTGTACAGTAAGCAACATCATTATGTATGGAACACCCTTTAGAGATATGGATCTGTCAATGTTTTGTATTGTAGTGTATCATGATATGTTAGTGCAAATGTGACTAATTTCTCTAGCAGAATTTTGAATAACAGTGGAACTTGTGGGGAAAAAAACCCTACAATAGATGCTAGTTTACGTTTGAACTAAAAAGTTACAGAAGAAAAAATATCGCAAAAGTAATTCTCTTATTTTTTTATAAAATTTAAATAGCTGGAGTACATTTCATTGCTTGTAGATATCTGAAACCAAGAGCTATGGTAAGCATCTAGATAATTTAGCAGCAACCTCAGTATTGGTTACATCCATTTCTGTGGAGTTATTGTTGTGTATTCTGGCTGACCTTCTTTTTTAAATTTCTGGTTGATATTATCTAGCTGTTACCTGCGGTATTACTTATGCAGGAGAAAAAAGGAAGTTTATTGACCAAGGTAAGATTCATCAGCTGCATGGGAGTTTGAATTTATTATCCCTAAACTGCAGCTCCATATCTTATTCACTGTATTGTCAATATCTGAAAGAAGAAAAGTTATTATTCTTGACATACACCCTGAAATATAAGGACATGGTTACAACAAGGAGTAGACATTTATTGGGAAGTCTGGCTAGTACTGAAAGTTGCCATAGCATAATTGTCCAGATACCTACGGTTAATTAGAACACAATTCATATACTGTTTGGTTAAATGAAATAAATGATAAAATTGAGTAGAATATCTCATTTTATATTGTTTTCTTTGTAGGAAAATAGTATGTGCGTTAGTAAAAAAGGGAGTTAAAGCTGTAAAGCTCGGTGTCTAATTGATATTTGAAAAGCTATACAGATGATTAAAACATCAGGGCTACTGATATTTTTGGTTCATTCAAAACACATGAGAATAATACCTTCTGCAGCATTTAAAATAACTAGTGGTCTTGCTCATGGGTAATTTTAAATAGATTTTCATATTTCAAGCTGTGCCCGATAATGACTGTGGAACGTACTTCTGATATGGACTCTATGATGTTTGCTAAGTGTAACCAAAACTAGATTAAAAAAGCAAGTGTACAGTAGTGGCCAAAATTGTGGACACTTTTGGAAATTTTTATGTTTTTGAACTTTGCTTATAGAAAACATTGCGTTTCACAAAATGCAAACGTGTATATATCATTTTAAATAGAATTTATTACTGAATTCAATACAAAACACAAACTTCAATTATTTGCAATACAAAAAAAGTTAAACGATAATAGTTATCGATATACATTAGATAGTGATGATTGCAGTGAGTTATCAGTACTTAGTAGGGTACCCTTAATTTTTGATTACAGCTTCACATCGACGTTTCATTGACCTGACAAGAGTTCATATGGCTGCACCGGACAGCAGAATTTAGGGAAAACAAAATGAGGGGCTTGGTAGCAGAATTTAGGAGCCAGAGAGACTGCATCAGGCGCTGGCCCTCAGTAAACCTTAAGTATATGTGGGAATTTATTTATTCAGTTAAGCATGTGCAAGAAATGGGCGTAAGTATAATAAATAACTAAACTAATACAATTCAGGCTTGTCTCAGTGCACGATAGAAGCAAGATAAAATTTAGCGGAACAACTTGTCTTTAGTTGCTAATATCATAATACATAGCCAAATATGTATAGTGAACAGTAGATAAATTTTATGATGAAAGCCGCTAATCTGAAGGCTTTCGGATATTGCAAACCAAAGGTGAAATTTTCCAATTAGCGTATTTTGTAAAGAAATGTGGAGAAGCATTAATAAATGAAGAATATAGAAAAGAAGTTTTTCACTGTGATGACAATGCTCCTCAATCATCAATCAATTACCGGATGGCGAAATCTATAGTATGATTCTAGATTCAGAAAATACTGCTACAGACAGAGTGGACAGAAAGACAAAAAAAAAAAAAAAAAAAAAAAAAAATTCGATTGACAAGCTAGTCAAAGTTCCAAACGTAACAGTTATAGGACTTCAACAATGGAACTTTGTAACTGAATAAGAAATCATGTCTGTCTATAGAATTAGAGAGAAAGTATTAGCTCAAAAAATGAAGCAACTTAAACAACTTGAAAGAAATGTTTAATAAAGTAAAAAAAATATTAAGCTTCTTCTTGTAAAGTTTGATACCCCTTTAGATCATAAATGCTTCATTATTTCATAAATCACAATTTCATATTTTTAATTTTATTATTTCTGCATGCCATCTTACTAGGTTTAAATTGATGATCTAATATGCGAAAAAATCCCAAATCCGGATCTGGGACTCTGTACTGTATAAATTAGACAGACGTCAGCTGCATCAACTCTCTAGCCCGCCAATATCAACTGTATAGGTTTTCTTCTTTCAATGAGGAACATTTTAGCAAATGATTTCTGCCTATTTCAAAATTCTGGTTGAACAGAGTACACAAAGAACTGTCATATATACCAGTGCAGTGCAGATATTTAGCCAGACAATCACGTGTGTTCTTGAAACGAAATGCTGCAACTGCAATGGGTCTTAGATATTACAAATTAAATCCTTCCATTTCCTATTCTTAATTTCTTTAAGTAATTGAACTTCAAAATTTTTCTTTGGTGTATTTTTTAGCATTCTTTTCATTGATGTAAATGTTACCCCACTATTATTTGACTGCAAAATTTCAATTCCTTTTTTTAGCTAGTTTAACAGCCCATTCATTACTAGTAATTCCAATGTGAGCCGTGATCCACTGTAAGAGAACAATCATCCATTTTGAGGCTAGAAGATAAAGAATTCTGCAAGATTTAGTAATTTTTTATTCTGCGACATTATGTGCTGAAATCACTTGAATGGCTAAAGGGTTCTGAAAAAATAACAGTATTTTTGAGTTTGATTGTTCTAACAATAATTTGTTCAGTTGCAACACTAATTGCCTCCAGTTCTCCATCAAAATTGGTTTGAAATGGACTAAGGGAACAGTAGACTGCAAAAAGCTCTGAATACACACCAGCTCCAACTTTGTCAAGCATTTTTGATCCATCAGTGTAAATATGAAGCCAATTATTCTGTGGATACCTGGAGTAAATTGTTTCCACAGCAGCTGCTTTTAGTTCACTGTCAATTGATGATGACTTTGTTTTAGCATACATCAAGTAACATTCAATTCTAACTGATCCTATGTGGATAGCACTTGTTGGTTTCAATAGTTCTTCTGTGTGAACATCCAGGAGTGAGTAGTATGATTTCAGTTTTAAAATGTTCTGCAAAAATCTCCTGATTCTTCGGGAGATTCTAAGTCTAGAAATATCATAATATCCCCATAACTCTGTCAATGATAATCTGATTAATTTTTTATATAGTATTAAAGTTCTGTCCTGAATAATTTTGTCCAGTGGATTGTTGCCTGCAAGGGCAAGCATTGAATGTATTGGAGTGGTTTCCATATCTCCAGTAACAAGCCTCAGGGCCTCGTTGTGAATGAAAGACTTCAAGTTTTGAAATGTTTGCATTGCTACAGGTAATCAAGGCTTCACAACTATAGCAAATTAATAGCTTGACATTTAAATTATATGTTTTATTTAAAGTTTCTATTCTACAACCGAATTTTACCCCTGTGAGTCTTTTAGTTACCATAAGCTTTTTTTCAAGCTCTGTCAAATATGTTCTCAGTATTTCTCCTCCAAGAGAGCATTTGTCAAGTCTCACTCCTAAATAAATAGTTTCTTCTGTCTTCCGGATGCTTCTACCATTATACTTCAAGTCCATATAAGTTGGTTGATGATCAAAGTAAATGTTTGGTACATAGTCTTGTCAATATTCACTTTCATTGATTTTCTGTAGATCATTCATATAATGCTTCCAGAGCCTGATTGATCCTAAGCATCATTTTATCATGCCACATGCATATGTAGTGGCATTCTGATCCTACCTCTGTTGTCAAGACACACACTGGCATCTCATTTGTTGTGACAATCTAAATTAAATAGCCATCCTTTAGGACAGTTAATTTCCCCTAGTTGTACTGCAAGGCAATCTGACAGCTCATACATATAGTGACAAAATTCTACAACCTTGTAATTATCTGCTGAGAGAATGTTTTCTCCAGGTGAGCAGCCCAAGTATCATGTACCAGTAAGACCCACTTTCACTTATCACTTTCAGAACAGGATTGAGATATGCTAGAAAGGTAGTTGCACCCCTCTCAGAATACAATTGAATTAACTGACCTGATGTAAAATGCATATGTAGTTTTATTAGAACAGTAGAAAAGTTTAGTAGAGTGTGTTGCAGACACCTAAACAGTTTAACTTATTGTATAGTGCATTGAATATTAGCTTATATAGCTGTCAGGGGAGGATTCGCCATTTATTGAAATGTAGTCTTCCTATTGTCACCATTTCTTAATAAAAATTTTTTTTTTTGTATTCCAAAAATTATAATCATTTTTATATTTCTCCAGTGCTAAATTTCGCAACTGTATCCGAGTTTTTTACAGGTGCTTATACATATTACTTTGTAACCGAGTTTGTAACCTTTGTAATCATGGTCATTCATAGTATCCAAATGGTTGTATATTTTTTCTTTTATTTCTACTCAGTTAAATAAGAATGTATTGCATTTCATTATTTATTTTCTTCTGTAGATTTAAATGAAATGGAGAAAAGGACCCCAAATGACTTGGTGCATTTGAAAGGTACCATTGCTTCTGGTAAAGCTTTTGAAGTAGAACTCATACCAAATTATGCTGATCATGAATTAGGTAATTGAAGTTATACCTCTCTTTAATTTAGTTAGGTTTTTTTTTTTTTTTTTTTTTGTTTGCTTATACAAAATTATCTTGAAGTAGTTCTAAATGTTTAATTCATTTTATTTGTATGTCAAGTGCAATATTATATTAGTTTTTTTTAACTTCATTTTTTCTTAAGTGGTACCTTATTTTATCAAATAATTCTGTTTATGTTATAATTTCAAATTTCTCCCCATTTAATGCATTTTTAAATGAAATTCAGGCTTTTATGATTCTAAAATTTGCATTTTTAAGAAGTTAATGATAATAAACATTTTCAGTAGTTTTTGATACAATAGTAGACTCTGTACAATTTATTGAATTGCAGAAAGTATTTTAAACATGTCTTTTTAATCATAATGTTTATTTCCAAAATGTAAATATAACTGAAATTGTTTCCCCTCCCCCCATAATACATGTAAGGACTGTTATGAAAGTTTTGGAATTAAAAATACCACTCTAGGGCCTCTCATATCCACAGTTAATATGTTCCAAAATTTTTGTATTTCGCAGACCCCTTAAGGACCGGAGCGTGAAGAATGAAGCGCGGGCCCGTTGAACTGGAACGTCACTGGCCCGTGCATTTTCAGCAGTTAAGCCTGATTTTACAAAAACAAACAAACAAAAATCGTATAAAATCAGCATTTGGATATAATGACTTCAATTTTTGAAGTTGCGTATTTTATGTACTTGTTTTTTATATGTATTAATATGAAAAATATCACATTAATAGAAATAAATTAAACAGCCAAAATACTAAAATCATAACTATAACACAAATAAATACTATAAACATGAAAAAAATTCAAATATGAAATTTAAAAAAAGTAAACAAGAATTACCTGTAGGTAATTAAATTCCAATTTAAAATCTCTGCTGTGTGTGAAATAATTCAAAACAAGGATTGGCACAGTCCTACATTGCATATTTTGCACTCAAAATACCTTGTTTGCTTCTACTTTTCCTTGATTTTAGAGCACACAACACATCTTATCCTACCTTTATTACCTTCTCCGTCAACGTAAATTTTTCGAAAATGTCTTGGAGTCTTTGGTGATTTTGGACAAATTTTTAAGTTTTTAAGTAAGGTCTCTTAGTCATGTCTAACGGAATGAAACTGATTATAACCCCAACACATGTCCCAAAACTTCTTCAAAACACACCCAGAAATATTTCATCCTCAAATCCTGTAGTGTCCTCCCACGATGACCGGAATGTGATCAAGGAAAGATCACCCCATTGGCAGGATATCCGTTACTGATCTCGTCAATATATACAGTATATATAATTATACGAGGGCAATCCCAAAAAAAAGGTCTCCTATATTTTTAGATATACAAAGCACCATTTATTTCCTATAATTGCTACATCACTTTAAAGATTGAAGAATGCTTTATTTTTCAACATAATCGCCATTTCGGTCGATACATTTTTGTAGACGCTGTGGCAGTTTTACAATGCTTATGTCATACCAGCTTGCTGCCATGCCCTTCAGGAAGCGTTGAACCTCATCTTTCACCTCATCATCGGAGCAGAACCATAGCGGCGAAGAAGTTCGCGGGAAGAATCAACCCATTGCCGTTTGTGGTCTTCTGTCAGCATACGCGGCACCCATCTTGCACACACCTTCCGATATTGCAACTTTTCCATTAAAATCCTGTGGATGGTGCTTCTGGAAACCTCAGGAACCAAAATGCAGAGAGCATCCAGAGTGATCCTCCGATCTTTACGCATGAGTTCCTCAACTTTCGCGATTGTCTCGTCGGCAGTTGACGGCCTCCCGCTCCTTTCTTCGTCATGAATTTCAGTACTACTGGCTGTAAACTCTCTACACCACTTGCGAACGTTTTTGACATCCATGCACGACTGTCCATACGCTTCCGTCAATAGGTGGTGAATTTCAACCGGTTTAACGCCTTTTGTGTTGAAAAATCGAATAACTGCGCGCACTTCGCACTTGGCGGTAACGTTTATCGGGAGCTCCATTTCGAATGGCTGCCAAGCCAAGACTGAGCATCCGAGCGAAGGGCCTGTGTCCTTATGTGGTAGCGGAAAAGGCACCACTCACGACAGTGTTGCCAACAACCGTATTAAAACTTTCTCTATGTCCCCAAAAAATAGACCTTTTTTTTGGGATTGCCCTCGTATTATGTACCATAATATAATGCCTCGGTCATTATATATTATGATCATTCAAGGCATTATATATAATGACCTCTTAAATCGAGTAAGAAAAACAAGAAAGCTAGCTCTTTCCTGAGAAAATGCGAGCGAATGAGGAGTGAGACGCATTACACATCGAGAAAGCTGATAGTCTTTCCCCTTCCATAATAATGTTGTAATGTTGCTTTTTAATTAACCAAGAAAGTTTATGTTAAGTTTCAAAATAAATAGAAAAAAGGACAACTGGTTTAGAATTTTTCCATCACCAATGTTCAGTGACGTTACACCTGCTATAGTCAGTTGAATGCACTTTCCTAACAAAAAAGCAAATAACATAAACAAAAACAAACAGCTGGATGCACTTACCCACATTCTAATAATGAAAAAAAGCAAAGAACAAAAAGCAAAAACAAAACAAAACAGTTTACTAACAAATGCCTGTGCCCCTTTAGTTCATAGGCGCACTTATAAAGAGCCGCGATTCCCAGTTTGTTTATACCAATAAATCTATCAAAATCAGAAGCAAAAAACAGAAAGTAATGCCAGTGCATGAAGTTCAAATGCCGTATGAATCAACACGTGTGAAAGCAGTTAGCGTTTAGATCCATCTAGTGGCTTTTAAAAATTCAAATAAATTGTTACGTTTTAAAGTCACGTATATGCGGCACTGGGCTGGTAGAAGTGGAATCATTGCTTAGCGTATATGGGAGGCTGGGCTGGTAGGATTGGAATCGTTGTGCTGGATATACGCGACACTGGTCCTGAATGGGTTAAACATGAAAGTCAACACATGACTGGTTATGAAATCCTGCCGAACATGAAAGATGGCAGAGATGTTGCAGATCATTCCATCAGAATTTGAACAAGCAGATCCTTATTTAGGTAAGAAAGAGATATAAATTACAGATATAGCTTTAAAACTTGAGTTGCTTATAATTTTTCATGCTTCCTTTCAACTTGACAAGTGCACCGATGTTGATTCACATTCCCAGTTACTCATTTTCACAAGATATATTCACTTGGAGGACATCACAGAAGAGTTTTCATTTCATAAAACACTAAAAAATATTTTGAAAGGTGAAGGCATCATGGAGAGGATAAGTACATTTTTTGAAAGTAATGACTTACAGTGGAAAAATTTGTGGGGAGTGTGTATTGATAGAGCCCCAGCCATGCTTCAACCACCGATCTCCTCCAAGGTCATTTAAGAGCTCACGCCCAAAGCAAAGGGATTGCACTGCATCAAAATGCTTGAAAGATGTTCTTTGGTAACTGTAGTCAATTATGTAAAATCTAGTGCTTTCAATACTCTTCATTTTAAGGAACTACGTAAAAAACATGAGCTCTTATCACAAAGTTCTTCTTATCTTCACTGGTTATCAAAAAGAAATGTTGTTGGCTGAGTCCTTGAAGTGAAAAATAAAGTAAAAGTGTTCTTAGAAAAGAAGGAAAAACATGAGTTAATGATATACACTGGTGTGCAAAAATTAAGGACGAGACGGTTTTTTCAATATAACTTTGTACAAAAGCTTTCCAAATCAATACATTTAATACCGTAAGATCCCCAATACGTAAGGACATAGTAATGTAAGCAACACTTACTAAAAGAGAAATCAGAGGGATAAAAAGAAGCTTTATTGAAAACGTAGCATGGAGCGCAATGCGACTGAAGGCAGAAACATCCCTGTGATGGGTGTCCAGCAAGAAACATCCGGTCTTTAATAGGGGATATGATCTCCCCTGACTGCTAGGCAGGTTTCACAGCATCTGCCCATGCTTGAGAATGAGGGTGTCAATGAGTTGTTGAGGCATTGCTGCCCATTTGTCTTGCAGCGCCAATCGAAGCTCCGGAATCGTACTGGTGGTAAGGTACGAGCTGCCAAGCGTCTGCCTAGAAAATCCCATACATGCTCGATGGGATTGAGATCCGGAGATCGTGCCGGCCAATCCATACGTTCAATATCCTCACTCTCTAAGAGCTGTTCGGCAGCTACTGTGCGATGACATGGTGCATTGTCGTCCATGAAAAGGAACTGCGGACCCATAGCGCCTCTAAAAAGACGCACATATGGAAGAAGAATGTCGTTACAATAACGGGTCCCGTTGACTGAACCTGCGTCGAAGATGTGAAGGTCTGTATGACTACCAAGCATGATGCCTCCCCAAACGAGAACACCGCCACCTCCATACCTGTCCCTTTCAATGATGTTCGAGGGATGATTGCGGCTTCCCCGCTCTCTCCAGATGAGTATGCGATGAGAATCGCTACTCAGACTGAATCTGCTCTCATCTGTAAAGAGTACTCGTCCCCATTCATTGTCTCTCCAATTCCGGTGTTCCTGGCACCACAGAGAACGTCTTCTCCGATGGGCAGGCGTTAGAGGTACACACCGTACAGGGCGTCGTGCAAACAGACCGCTAACGTGCAGTCTTCTGGCCACGGTAAAATGCGATATCGGTCGTCCAGTCGCCTGTGTCGTGTGTCTAGTGTTTTCTCCCGCTGTCTGCCGCCTGTTTCTTCTGGCTTGTAAGGCAATATACCGGTCATCTGCGGGTGTGGTTCCTCGTAGACGACCACTACTAAACCCCCGGATAGCTGTTCCTGTAGTTGAAATTGTCTCCAAAGTCGTGAAACGATGCTGTAAGCAATTCAGAACTCTGCAACCACACTTGTCACACTGCGGCCTTCCTCCAACTTCCCAATGATTCGACCTCGGGTAAAAGCATCCAGATGTCGTCTAAAGATTGATTATTCGCCATTCCTCGCTGAGGCAGCAACTCGGTGTGATTTTAACTGCTATACGGCGTGC